AACATATGTGTACAATGAAATACTATACAACAGTGAAAACAAACACAACCATATATACACAGAAATGAATCTTAAGAACATATCATTGAATGATAAAAGGAAGTCACAGAAAAATAAAGTCCGAATGACTCCATTTAGGTAAAGTTTAAACGTCTGTAAAACTAAATAATATATTGTTTAGCAAATAAACATATGTAGTAAAACTATAAAGAAAAGCAAGGAATGATGAGCACAAAATTCAAGAGAATGGTCACTCAGAGAGTGAAGGAAAGGAATGGGATCCATGAGGCGAAGATGGAGGGTCGGGCAGGGTGTGAGGAAGTGCTCCCATGTACCGCAGGCCAGAGTGGAAACAGCAGATCACTGTGTGCCCAAGGAGGAGGAAGGCGAGGAAGAAAAGGAGAAGAACTGAGGATGCTGGACCAGAATGACTTTCCTACTTTATTTTTGCCTTGGGCCGAAGTTGCCAAAACCGTAACATGGAAATTAGAGCCATCTGTTGACAGGATAAGTTAGTGAACTGGACAGAATTTACCAACAGAAATTCAGAATAATGTATTTTAGAATCGCTTCAAATTATAGAAAAATATAAATAAAAAGCCTACTTTATTTGAGAGAGGAGAAAGATGTCATTTCATCATTATTTATAACAGTAAAAATATGGAAATAACTTAAGTGACCATTAACACAATACTGGTTAAATAAAATAAGATACATTCATAATATGGCATATTATTATAATAGTTACAAAAAATTAAACACACCAGGAATAGAAAAATGGATCAATGGAACAGAATAGAGTTGTTAGATACTATTTAGTTCAGGTTAAAGAGTAATTTCAAAACAGTAGAGAAAAATGAACTAGTCAATAAATGTTGAGATAACTGGCTGCCTACTGACTCTATCTAAAACTTTTCATAAATACTTTAAACCCAAATGGATTAAAGAACTAAAACCACTAAAATAAAACACGGGTGAATATGTACTATGAACTTGGCATAAAGAAAGCCTTCTTAAAAACACAAAAAACAGAAGCTCTGAAGGAAAAGAGGAATAAATATGACTACACAAAATGCAACACTTCTATAAACACATCAACAAAACAAAAAACTTCTATTAAGAAAGTTTAAAGACAATTCACAGCCTGGAAGATGATGTTTGCAACATAAATAACAGAAAGGATTAGTAACACATATATAAAAATGCTACAAAATCAATTTAAATGAACAACAACACACAATCCAAAAGAAACACAGGTTAAGGATAGAAGCAGGCAATCCACAGAAGAGGAAATGGAAGTATTCAGTTAATACATGGGAACACGCAAATTATACCTACTATGCCACACAACCTTTAGCTAAGTGATAAAAATAGAAGACTTGAAAAATATCAAGCACTGGTGAGGGTGTGAGTAAATAGGTACTATTATATACTACAAGCCAGTGTAAATTGGTATTGATATTTTGAGGGGCTATTTGGCAGTACTAATGAAAATGAAAATGGGCATACATTCTAACCCAGGAATTCTATTTCTAGGAATCCACCCTAAAGAAACACTCACATATGTGCACAAAGCTATTCACTGAAGCACTATTTGTAATAGTGAAAAATATAAAACACCAAAATGTCTATCAGCAAAGAAATAAACTATAATATCCAGGCAATACAACAGTTAAAAAAATATATAGTAAATTTCTAAATATTGACATACACTGAAGGATTGCCAAGTGATATTGTTTAAAAGAAGTTTCAGAAAAATACAGAACAGTGTTCTAAAACAAAGTAAAGTTAATTCTACATAATTCTAAAGGTACATGTACATATGTAAATGCTCAGAGAAAAGTCTGGAGAGTAACCAACAGATTGATAATAACAGTAAACTCCGGGAAAGGGATTGTGTTGGGGTAAGGGACAATCAAGGGGGATTTTAACTCTATATTGCTTGAATTTTTAAAAATGAGTATATCCACTTATTACTTATGTAATTTAAAAATAAATAAAACATAAACTAATGATGATACAAAACTATAAACTCTATACTAGGGGTATGGGCAAAGTTCTGTGGGCACACAGTAAAAGGAGAAATTAGTTTAGTGTGGAGAAAGATTTATAGCAGTAGTGACATTCCAGCTGAGCCCTGCTGTTTGAATAGGATTTAGTTAAGTGGTCATATTTGGTGGCGGATTGTGGCAGATTGTGTTTTCCAAAGACGATTATACTAACACACATCCCATCCCATGTGCTTTTCTTTCAATATGACATTGGTGCTTGTCCATGGAGAGGTGGAGTCCACATCCCCTCCCCTTGAACTTGGGTAAGACGTTGTGATTGCCTTGATGAACTGATGGGAAGGAAGTACCACAGCATGACTTTCGAGATTATTCCGCTTCTGCCTGGTCCTTTCTTTCACAGGATGCTTCCCCCTTGGAACCCAGCCACCACGCTGTGAGGGAGCCCAAACCAGCCCACATGGAGAGACCACATGAAGAGGCTCATGTAGAGAGAAACTGAGGCCCCCCGCCGATAGCGAGCATCAACTACCAGACACATGAGTGAATGAACCTTCAGATGATTCCCGTCTCCAGCCTTTGTGCTCTTGGGCTCAGGCCCGAATATACGTCATGGCACAGAGAAAAGTCATCCCCACTGTGCCCTGTCCTAATTCTTGACCCAGAGAATCCATGAAGAGAATAAATGGTTATTTTATGCCACAAAGTTTTAGAGCAATGTGTTACACAGCCGAAGTAACTAGAACAAAGATCTTCTAAGAAGAAGAAACTACACAAGTAATAGGATGTCATAGAGCACTGTGAATATTGACAGTATTGGGTGATGAGGCCAAACAGGTTGGCTGCAACCAGACTATGAAAAGTGTTACATGATAGCATAAAAAAATTAGATATCTTATTGGCAGTGGAGAACTCCTGAAAGTTTTTAAGCTGGGAAGAGAAATGCTGAGATCTGCATTTTAGCAAGATATCTCTGAGATCAGTGTGAAGGCAAGACTGGAGAAAAGAAAGACTTAAAAATAGGAAAAGCTCCTCCAATTAAGATGCATCCTAACCAAGTAAAATGGTGGAATCATCCCTCACGTGACATATTTTATGACATTTTTCTTTTTAAGGGTTGCCTCTGATGCTCATTTATACTCAATTTCACTTGAATTAAAATGTGGCAAGGGGAAACTTACGTCCACACAAAAACCCCCACACAGATATTTACAGCAGCTTTATTCATAATTGCCAGAACTTGGATGCAACCAAGATGTTCTTCAGTAGGTGAACGGATAAATACCCTAGTGTATCCTATTTTGCACTAAAAACAAATGAGCTATCGAGCCATGAAAAGACATGGAGGAACCTTAAATGCATATTATTAAATGAAAGAAGTCAGTCTGAAAAGGCTACATACTGTATGATTCCAACTATATGACTTTCCAGAAAAGGCAAAACTATGGAGATAGCTAAAATATCAGCGGTTGCCATGGGTAGAGGCAGGGAGGACTGAATAGGCAGAGCATAGAGGATTTTTAGAGCAGAGGAAAACTCTGTATGATACTATAATGGTGGATACATGTCATTATCCATTTGTCAAAACCCACAGAATATACAACACCAAGAGTGAACCCTAATGTAAACCACAGTCTTTGGGTGATGATGTGTTGATGTAGGTTCATTGATTGCAACAAAGGTACCACTCTGGTGCGGGATGTTGAGAGTGGGGGAAGCTCTGTTTGTTTGGGGACAGGGGGTATACGGGAAGATCTCTGTACGTTCCACTCAATTTTGCTGTGAACCTAAAACTACTCTAAAAAATAAACTCTATTTTAAAAAGTGTTAGGGGAGAGGAATGTTTAAGGGGATAACACAACACAAAAATGTTTTCCTTACTGTTCTTCTTTCACGCTCCTGGATCCGGATCAGTTTAGATATAGTGTACTCTAAGAATACAAAGCAAGCTGTTTAAAAAATTGTCACTGCTTATAACTAATTATCCATGTGAATAACGCCATCCTTGAACTACCAATATCACCATAACCCACAACTTCTTGTTTTTCTGTCTTTGAAAATAACCTCATCATTCTCATAACTGGTTTTATAAGAAAACTGTATAAACGTGAACTTGTAAATAAATCTATATTAATAAACTACACTTCTTATATTTTGGACATTGAGGATCTATGTAAGGGGAAAATTGAGGTGCATCGTTCAAAGATGAGGGAGAAGAAGAAACTCAGAACACAAGAAGCCACCTCTGTGATAAGGCAAAGGAAGCCCGGAAGAATATAAAAACAAAGATGTATGAGGGGATGAAAGATACTAATGAGAATGCTTCATTCTCATCTCGGCAGATCTTTCATCCTATTTTTTGAGAAAATCAAGAGGAAGAATGTAAAGAAAATTGAGAGTTCATGGAGAACAGAGACAGGGTAGAGGGGCTCAACAGGAAATCACTCAGATCTTGAGAAGCAGTAGAGCCCAGTTGGAATTTGACAGTGTAATTTATGGGAGGCCAGTTTTGTATAATTTTATACTGTGCCTTTCACTAACGTCAATTATTCAAGAGGTGATTAACCAATTTGTGAGATACCATACATCTTGCTTTTTCACATTTTCGTCTGATGCTTTCTTCTAAAAAGTGTCATCATTTAAACTCTGTATGAAGGAGAAGTTAATACAAACGAGAAAAGGAACTAAAATTAATTTTTTATGCCTTTTTTAACCATTCATAAAAGATTTAAGGTTTGTAGTTAATAATATTTTAAACAAAACAATGAAAAAGAAAAATAGAGAAAAAAACATTGAAACAAATGGTAAAATAATTGATTATAGGATCATGTGTGGGTTGAATTTATCCATGCCAGTCCTGTCCGTCATTATCAGAGTTAAATTAGTCCTTATTCCTATATTTCACAAAATAAAATCTGATGAAAAACATTTCCTGCCCAGTGTTTCTTATTCATGTTTCTGAGTAAACTTCCTATTCTTTAAGCAATTTACCTGCATCCCAGAGATTACAAACGTCTGCTTGCCCTTCTGACAGCCATGTAGTTGGAGAGATAACAGCAGGGGGTACTGTCGGCAAAAGCGGCTGTGAATCCTCCTCACAAAATAACATCAGGTCCTTAGAGAAAACAAGAGAGCACACGAAAAGTTGAAAAAAAATTAGTCCCACTGCCTCAATTTGTCACAATGGATGGACAATTCATGGAGATACAATGTGTCTATGTGTGCTAACATCATCATAAACGCAGTTTGATTGCAAGAACTCACACATAAGTCACCTACACACTTGGTGTCCCCTTAGTGTAGGGTGGTTTTCTACTTGGGCCCACTCCTTGCTGAAGACACCTGGTGTAGACAAGCAATGATTTTGTTTGGGCATTAACTTTCTCTACCACACCTTGAGCATCCTTAGAGCATACTATCTCAGAGGCCAGCTCTTCTGTTTTATTGGTAATAATAAAGCTACCTGTGTGTATCTTTTACTCATATTTTAAAATTTTAACTTTTTATCATGGAGTCAAAAGTAGACGATAATCAACCTAACCATGCAAGTCAAACAACAATCAACTCAGGGCCAGTCTTGTTTCACATATATCTTACCACTCCTCATCTGCTTTATTTTGAAGCAAATCCTAGATATATCACTTATTTCAATATGTCTCTCTGATAAGAACTCTTTAACATAGTAATAATTATTTTATACTTATAAACTTCACAACTCCTTAATGTCATCAATAAACTGTTCAGATTTTCCATTTCTCAAAAGTGTCATAAATATGTTTTTCTATAGCTTTTGTGAAAGAGGGTCCAAGTAAAGTCTATACAGTTGGACTGGTTGATATGTCTTTGTTTCCCCCATGAATGGGGAATTTTTTTTTGACTGTACTTTATTAAGGTATAATTAACATACAGTAAAATGCATAAAGCTTAAGTGTAGAGCTCAGTAACTTCTAACATTATGTGTAACCACGTTTCTTTCACTCCAGAAAGTTCCCTCAAGCTCCTTTCCAGTTGATACCATCCCCCCACCACCTGTAAATAGTATTCTACCTTCTATCACCATCAATGAGTTTGCTTATTCTTGACCTTCAGATAAACGTATTCTTTTGTATCTGATTCCCATTGTTCAATATAGCGTTTGGGAGATTTGCTTATATTTTGTGTGTATCGGTAGTTCCTTGGGGGAGGTGGGTAAGAAATATTCCATTGTATAAATATATCACAATTTCTTTATCCATTCTCCTGCATATGGACATTTCGGTTTTTTCCAAATTTCAGCTTAAGAATGAAGCTACTATGAACATTCTTGTACAAATCTTTTTGTGGACAAATGCACTCATTACTCCTGGATATTTATACAGGAGTAGAATGGCTAGGTCATAGAATAGGTTTATTTTTAACTTCATTAGAAACTGCCAAACCATTTTCCAAGTGATCTGCCACTTTTTATAATTCAACTTTTATTTTGAAATCATTGTAGATTCACATTCAGCAGTAAGAAATAATACTGAGAGATCCTGTGTATCCTTTACCTAGTTTCCCCTAAAGGTAACACTGTGCAAAATTATAGTACAATATCGCATCCAGGACATTGACACTGACATGGAACATTTCCATCACTATAAGGATCCTTCCTGATGCCTTTTTATTACCATACCCTGCCCCCACACAAGTAATAATCTCTTCTCCATTTCTAAAATTCTGACATTTGAAGAATGTTACATAAATGTAATTATATAGGATGTAATCTTTTGGGATTGGCTTTCTTCACTTGGCATAATTCCTGGAGATTCATCCAAATTGTTACATGTATCCATAGTTTGTTCCTTTTTATTGCCAAGTAGTATCCACGGTATAGATGTATCACAGTTTGTTTAACCAGTTAAAGGACATCTGGATTGTTTCCAGATTTGGTTATTACAAATAAAGTTGCTATGAACACCGTGTACAGGTTATTATATGAATATAAGTTTTCATATCTCTGAGATAAATGTCTAAGAGTGTAATTGCTGGGGTGCATGGTAGTTGTGTGTTTAGTTTTATATGAAACTGCCAAATTGTTTTCCAGACTAGCTGTACCATTTTACATTCCTACCAATAATATATGAGTGATCCAATTTCTCTGCATGTTCGCCAGCATTTGATGGTGTCACTATTTTTTATTTAAGCCATTTTTGTATTTCATTGTGAGTTTAAATTACAAACTCCTAATGGCTAATAATGTAGAACATCTTTTCATGTGCTTATTGCCACCTGTATCTGCTGAAGTGATTGTTCATATCATTTGCTCATTTTCTAACTGGATTGTTTGGTTTTTAACTGTCAAGTTTTGAGAGTTCTTTATATGCTCCAGATATTAGTCCTTTGCTGGATATGTGGTTTGCAAATATTTTCTCTCAGTTTGTAGCTTGTCTTTTCATCTTCTTAAACGGGATTGTTCGCAGAACGAAAGTTTTTAGTTGTGATGAGGTCTGATATCATTTTTTTTCTTTTAGGGATCATGTTTTCAGCCAGCCCTAGATCCCAAAGATTTTTCTCCAATATTTTTTGAAAGTTTTATAGTTTTACATTTAAGTCCATGATCCATTTGGAGTGAATTTCTGTATAAGATTTAAGTTGAGATTCATGGTTTTGTCCAGTTGCTCCAACATCATTTGTTCAAAAACTTACCCTTCCTTCATTGAATTTCTTTTTCATCTTTGTCAAGAATCAGTCAGCCATATTTGTGTGGGTCTATTTCTTGCTTCTCCATTCTGTTCCACTGACCTAAGTGTCTCTCTCTCCACCAATACCACACTCTCTTGATTATGGTAGCTATGCAACAGGCTTTAATAACAGGCAGAGTGATTACTCCCATTTTTTCCTTCTTTTTCAAGATGGTTTTAGCTATTCTAGGGCCTGTGCCTTTCCATATAAATTTTAGAATAAGTTTATATTATATATGTATCAAAAAAACTTTGCTGGAATTTTGATAGGAATTGCATTAAACCTAGAGAGCAATTAGGGACATCTTTACTATGATATCTTTATTATGTTGAGTCTTCCAATCCATGAATGTGCTATGTATTTAATTGAGTGGTCTTTAATTTCTTTCATTATTATTTTATAATTTTCAGCGTACTGATCCTATACATGTTTTGTTACAATTACACGTAAGGATTTCACTTTGGGTTAGTGATTATAAATGGTGTATGTCTTAATTTTAGTTTCTGCATGTTCACTGTTAGTATATAGAGATGCAATTGATTTATGTATGTTAATCTTATATCCTACAACCTTGCCAAATTAACTTACCATTTCTATCACGTTTGTTTTTGTCATTTCCTTGAGATTTTCTATGCAGACAATAGTGTCGTCTGTAAATCAGGACAGGTTTATTTCTTCCTTTACATTTTGCATGCTTTTTCTTTCTTTTTCTTGCCTTATTGCAGTGGCTAGATCTTCCAGTACTATGTGGAATAAGAGTCCTTGCCTTGTTCTTGATCATAGAAGGAAAGCATTCACCATTAAGTATGATGCTGCTGTATGTTTTGTGTAGATGATCTTTACCAATTTAAGGAAATTCCCTTCTATTTCTAGTTTGCTGGGAGTTTTAATCATAAATGGATATTGACTTTTGAAAATGCTTTTCTGCATCAATTGACATAATCCTACTATTTTTTTCTTCTTTAATTTGTTGATATGATGATTGATTTTCAAACGTTGAACCAGCCTTCCATACCTGAATTAAATCCCACTTCGTCCTGGTGTATAATTCTTTTTATACATTTCTGGATTCAACCAGATGGGTTTTTTTTTTTTTTTGAGGATTTTTGCATCTAATTTCATGAGAAACAATAGTCTGTATTTTCTTTTTTTGTACTGTCTTTGTCTGGTATTGGTAGCAGGGTGATACTTGCCTCATAAAATGAATTGAGGTGTTCCATCCTATTTTCTGGAAGACATTGTGTAAAACTGGTGTTAATTTGTCTTTAAATGTATGGTAGCATTCTCCAGTAAAACTATCTGGACCCGGTGATTTATTTTTCAGGAGACTTATATTACACATTCAATTTTTTCAATGGTTATAGGAGTATTCAGGTTCTATTTTATCTTGTTTGCATGTTGGTAGTTTGTCCTTTCTGAGAAATTGTTCTATTTCTTCTAAATTGTCAAATTTATGAGCACAAAGTTGTTGGTAGCAATTCTTTATTGTCCTTTTATGGCTACAGGAACTGCTGTGATATCCCATTTCATCCTGATATTGGTGATTTGGGTCTTCTCTCTTTATATTTGTCAGTCTTGCTAGAGGTTTATCAATTTTATATTTTTCAAAGAACTGGCTTTTTGTGTCATTCATTTTCTCTGTTAACTGTTTTCCTGTTTTCAATTTCATTGATTTCTGCTTTTTATTATTTCCTTTTTCCTGTTTCCTATACGTTTATTTTGTTTTTCTTAGTTTTTAAGAAGGAACTTAGATTATTGATTTTAGACCTTTCCTCTTTTCTAATGTAAGCATTTAGTGCTATAAATTTCCCTCTCACCCCTACTTTAGCTATGTCTCATATATTTTTGATATGTTGTGTTGCCTTCTTATTCAGTTCTGTATTTTTAAATTTCCTCTGAGACTTCCTCTTTGACCTATGGTTAATTTAGAAGTTTATTTCCAAAAAAAATTTAAGGTAAAATTCATCATGAGTTTACACCGATATACTTCCAATTTAATTCATGTCTATTGGGTTATGACAGCCTCTTCTATCTTACATTCGTATCTCCTTTCTCCCATGCTGAGAATCCCAGTTCTCAAGGATACCAAAGATGATACAAATAGAGTATCACGTGATTATTCATTTGATTCATCCCACATTATACTCACAATAGTCTCAAATAAAAAATACCAACACCTCAGAATAGAAAGACTAACTGAATGCAAGGTACATTTGCTTAACTTTATTTTACATTTTTCACTTTAGTTTAATTTTGTTTTATAATTATGCAAAATATTCCCAGGATTCCAATGACAAGTCTAAAAACAAGGTATAATCAAAGATCTCTAGCTTCTATTCCTCCTTTGCACCTTATTCCTTCTGTCCCCTTACAGGTAACCTTTCTTTCTTTCTTTTTTTTAACATTATGGCT